TTAATAGTTCAACCATTGTGGGAAGCAGTGTGGCGATTCCTCAAAGAGCTAAAAACAGAACGACCATTTATCTCAGCAATCCCATTACTGGGTATATACCCAGAGGAATATAAATCAGTCTTCCATAAACACATATGCACATGAATGTTCATTGCAGTGCTATTCACAATATCATAGACATGGAATCAGTCTAAATGCCTATAAATGACAGATTGGATAAAGAAAATGTGGTACATATACACCATGGAATTCTATGCAGCCATAAAAAAGAATAAGATCATGTCTTTTATGGGAACATGGCTGGAACTAGAGGCTGTTATCTTCAACAAACTAATGTGGGAACAGAAAACCAAATAGCACATGTTCTCACTTACAAGTGGGAGCTAAATGATGAGAACTCATGGATACAAAGAGGGGAACAACAGACACTGGGACTACTTGAGGTTGGGAGGAGGGAGAGGACTGGAAAAAAATAACTATTGGATAGTAGGCTTAGTAACTAGGTGACAAAATAATCTGTGCAACAAACCCCAGTGACATGAGTTTACCTGTGTAAGAAACCTGCTCATGTACCCATGAACCTAAAAACAGTTAAAAATTAAAAAAAATTTAAAACCAACATTGTATTCCAAACTATAAATTATTTTGTAAATAGTCCCTGTGGATATTTAAATTGTTTCAGATCTTTTCTGTTACATCGTAGTACAACAGATGTTCTTGTAAATATGTGTTTGCATACTGTGCCAGTTTATATAAGATACATTTTTAACAGTGGAATTACTGGCCAGAGAGAATGTGCATTTTACATTTTGATCAATTATTGCTAATTTACCTTCTCATAAAAAGCAAGTAAGTGAGAGTGCTTGTTCCCCCACACCCTCACCCACACAGGGAATATCAAACTTAAATTTTTGTCTATCTATTAGGTGAAAATTGGCACCACATTGTTTTGACTTGGATTTTATTTTGTGAAGTTGGCCATTCTTTTATATGTTTTTAAATAAAGTGTTCCATTTTTCTATTGAAAAAATTTACTCCTAGGAACATTACAAAATAAACTATTCTAGCTCCTTGCAAAAACAGAGAATGGTGACTGCATGCTAAAGATCCAGAATGTTTCCTTTAGCTTTGCTGATTTGGGTTCATACCATCTCACCCCAGCTCATACATGTCATTCATTCATTTATTTTAAAGTGCTTATTAAGTATTTACTGTTTACAAAGCACTGATAGGCACTATCCCTTAAAAGGCAGCATTTTTTAGATGAGGAAATGTGACTGGGTCTCCATTATGGGCCTGTCTACTAAAGGATTAAATTCAAGTCTTAGTATTCAAGCAGTTCTTCTCTTGCCTGAGTTTCATTTTTCTAGTTGTTCAATACTAAGTGAATAGTCTCAACTATCTGTTGGTTAAGCAAGTGGAAATTTATCCAAAAGGCTGGGTCTCTACCTGTGATAGCTTCAGATGATCAAACTATTGCTACTGCTTTCTTGTCATTTGTTATTTTGTAATTGATGAGTTCAGTATTTGATCACCTAGATGCAGCCAGTAAAAGGAGTTCAGAGGTTAGTGTTCTGATGGTGAGGTGACATATACATCTACAGTGTCTTCCCTAACAGTTCTACTCCAGTTTTGTTTGGTTGCTTCATTTGTAATTTCTGTTGAACTAGAAGGCTCGTGATACATTGTTGTGGACCACTTATTATTGGTTAGTCCAAGTATGTGATACAATTTATCCTTCAACTGCTAGCAAGCAAGAAGTAGGTGGTATAGTAAGTTATCAGATGGACTCTAGACAACAGGGAAAGCCTGGACTCTATACCACCTAGTCCAGGCTTGGTATTGCAAGTGAGTATAGGAGGCAAAGAGCTAAAAATTTCCACATAGGAAATAGGATAACACTCTTATTCTAGATCCTTTGCTTTTCTCCACAGTCTCTATAGAATGAGAAATAGGGTCATTTATTTAAGTATGAAGACAGTCTCCTTTAGACATATAGAATATCAGCTACCAAGCTCTTGGGTGTATGTGTATGTGAACCAGGCATTTGAAAGATTGCTAGAGATGCAGATTCAAAATAATGTAGGCAATCCTTGCTTTGTACAGTAGTGTAGGACAGTAAAATGGCAGAACAGGTTGAAACTGAAAAAAAAAAAAGATCTCAATAATCAATGTGAAAAGTTATGATTGTTTCATGCCCTTTACATTTTTGTCAAAATATTAGTACCTCTCTGTTAGTTATAAATATATAGGGAAATGAGACAAAAGTAAAGCTGATGTTCATTTAGTACATTGTAATTTAGAATATTAGAAATATTGAGAATTAAAGTATCTTTTTAAATAAAATACTTAAGATTCATTTAAATAGTACTTACCTTCTTCTTACCACATAACTTATAAGACAGAGGGAGCATCTTTTTGTGCCTTGGCAAATACTCTGTTGAATGGTGGTAGTGTCAGCATTCCCAGTCAGCGATTTCTTCTATTACTCCATTCATATTTTATTTGGTTTTCACTTTCAGCATATCACTTTTATTTTCTTTGCTGCACTTTCATCTTTGTTGGCTAATTCCCTGGGAGAAAAGGAAGCAACACAACTACACACTTTGCTGTCTGTGTGTGGACTGAATAGCAGATGCCCAATGTCTGATCACCAATAGCCTTTGAGAGAAGTGACAAAATTGGTCACTGATCATGATATGCGTTTGTTTGCTTTGTGGACTGAAGAACTAGCAGTGCAGTTTGAACTTTATGGAGTTTTAGTTCATATACCATATTGACTGAAATTTAAACTCTGCTCTTGGAGGACTAACGCTGTTTAAGTAAATTATAACTGAAATTCAGGCATATCAGGACTGTGCAGAGCAAGAACTGACTAAATAAATGAGCGGTCACATCATATTGGTTGCATATGAGTTCTGTAGTAATTATAATTTTGTTGGACATGATGATTTTGCAATGAAGTCACTCTTTTTAAGGCTTCTTAGAGGTGATTTACAGAATGTAAATGTTTGCTTTGGTATCTACATCGAGGTAAGCTAGATTATGCTGTGATAACAAATGACATCCAAATCTCAGTGCTGTTAGTACCTTCCATGGCCAATTGACTCGGGGGAGAGGAGGAGGTTCTGTTTCACTTTGTCCTTACTCAGGAACCCAAGCTGAGGGAGACTCCATCTCTATGCTTCTGTAATTACCAGTTCAGGAATTGGAAACATGATTAATTGCATACTATCTCTTTAAGTTTTCACCCAGAAGTGATACATACAGTTTCCAATCATGAATCACTGGCCAAAGTAAGGCACATGGTCACATCCCAAAGAGGATAGAGAAGTGAAATTCTACCATGAGCCTAAAAGGAAGAAATGTTGGGCAAGTAGCCTTAATCACTACCACAGTTTCCAAAGACTTAACCTGGGGAGAGCTTTTCAGGGAGGAGCCACTGGGGACTGGGATTGCAGACTTAGATGTGTCAAATTGTCAGTTTCTGCTAGTGAAAGAATCAAGTTGAGGCAAAGTTGTATGTACTTGCATTCTAGGAGTCTGGTCACTGATTTTATGAAAATTAAGTTAGAGGTCAGAATGAGGCCAAGAAGTTGTAAGAGAGGAGAGATGGATCATAGGGAGCAAGCGGAGCCCTGGAGAGCAGAACCCCTTCAAATGAGTGCTCTGAGACAATCCACCATTCTACATGATTTCAGCTCTTTAATGGTTACTGTCGCTGAGCCACTGTCTGTTTTCACTTGAGTTGACTACATAATTGGGAGTTCTGGGATACCTGACAGAAATGAATCTTAAATTGAACCTTCAAGGAAATGTAGGCTCTTGCTATGGACTGGCAGGAAGAAATGGCAAGGGCATTCTAGGAGTAAGTAGGTAAGGGAGGAACAAGTGCAAAACCAGCGTGAGATGTAATGGGATGCTATGAACATGGTAGGAGTACTGAGCTTCTTAAAACAAGGGAACAGAGAAGAACCACAGGGAATTAATTGCATAGTGATCCTCATTTAGTTATTAGCATTCCACATTTAGTGTTTGTCTATGTCTTTAGCCACAAATACATTAAACTCAACAAGTCCTCAACAGTGTATTCAGATAGGTACCCTTAAAATACCCTGTCTCATGGTTTTCTATGTCACTGATGCTAAACATTTCAATACATCCATATACCAGAGTAATTTAGAATCACTTCATAGCTGTGCCCACACCTGAACTTCTCATTTTAATCTAAATGTGATCCATTTCTTTGGTCTAAATTTTTTCTAACAGTATGAGGTAAGAACAAAAATATTTAAGACACACCTAATCAAGCAGGAGCTATTTGAGCTTGCATTCATGTATTTCTCGGCACATTACATAGGGTATTCTATTTGGGAAAATACGGTTAATATAAAATGGTCAATTTTGGTATGTATCATCATATGCTGGGATAAGAACACTGTGCCAAGTCAGTTATAATCAAAGGACCACATTATATTTAAATCTTCCAGACAGGTAAGGGATTTCAAATTAAGTACCTATATTCTTAGACATAGTGCTTGACTAGTTGACTGAATTTAGATTTTTTTTTTTTTTCCTAGATATTTGGATGTTGTATAGACCTCTCCTTAGCACTGGACCCACTGGCCTTTGGCCAACTTCTTTAGTTCTTTCAACCTCCCTCTCAATTTTCTAAGAACAGCACTATAGGGGGTATTTGGGTTCCAGGAAATTGCCCTGTGTAGTGTTCTTTGCACAAGCATGCTGCATTGTTCTTTCAAGCCTGAATATTTCCCCTCTTAACTTGGACCTATTACAAGTGATATCATGCAACGGGTGTGAGCCATGTCAGTACAGGGAGTGTACTCCAGTGGTCATCAGAAGTTTTCATATTTATTCAGCATTATAATCTTTTCCATGTGACTGTTACTGAATTTGGGAGACTATCTCGCTAAATGATGTAGGTATCGTCTCAATTATCTAAGCTGTTTATAACACCAAAAATTGATTGTCAATATTAGGGCAATAAACTTTCTTCCGTGAGACCAACCAATGTATTAGAGATGATGAAAGAATGGAAAAATAACCCAGAAAGTGATGAGGAAAACACAACAGAAGAGAAGAGTAATCCGTCCACTGAAGAAAAGTTGAAAAGTTACCAACTCTGGGGAAATGTCCGTGATGCCAATTACACTACAGATGACGAGGAGGAAAAACAGGTAGGAAGAATCATTGCTGCATTTCTCCAAAGTGTAAGCCCTCACTACACCTGAAACATTTTTTTGCAAATCTGTCTTTTTGTTGTTAGTTTGTAACAAAGGTCGAGCATTATATAGCAAGTAAAGTTCTTTCTGCTTTATAAGGCTAGCACGATTTAGTGGTGTGGCCTACATGTTTATTTTAAGGTTAATGATTATGTAGGGCAGGTGTCTGCAAACTTTTTCTATAAGGGAAGAAACAGTAAGTATTTTAGGCTTTGTGAGCCATAGTAGTCTCTGTCACAACTACTCATCTCTGACATTGTAGTGTGAAAACAGCCATAGACCACAAATGAATGAGTGTGGCCATGTTCCAACTCAACTATTTTTTTCCCCCAAAACAGATGGCATGCCAAATTTGGCCCAAGGATCAAAATTAATAATTTTTGTACTCTACCAGACTATAGAATTTGGAATGGGTCTATGTATTACATAGAAAATGATCATTATTACATTATTTAGTTATTTTTGTCTGAATTTATGGTAACAAAAACTTTTTATATAGGTTTATTATTTTACCTTATTAGTTCTGAATACAGTTTTATTCTTTTTCATGAATAGAATTGAATAACATTTTGATTGGTTCTAGATTGTGGTCTGTTAGCTGGATATCCTGACAAAGTTTACCCAAAGCTCCCCTTCCCTGCTTTCTTATTTGTTTCTGCATTTGCAGAAAATTTCTCTGTATGTGTTTGTTCTCCTTCCTGTCTTGAAATCTAATTAACATATCTTAACTATTATTTAATAATTGAGCATCCTGCCAGCAGGGGCTGTGTTCACCTCAGGGTAGCCAGACTTCTCGTGAGGAGTCGCTGGTTTCTGATTCTGTGATGCCTAGAATTAGGCAGAGTGCAGAGAGGGACTGCCAGGGTAAATCCTGGACCAGACTCAGGGAGCTGCAGCATCGCTGGCCTACCCCTCCCTACCAAGAATCCTCTCAGTAACTTACAGAAAGGGACATGGTAGCATGATCTATTCATTAATTTTTATTTAGTGGTTGAGAACTTCATTACTTTATAGCAAATGTTTAGATAATAAGCATAGCATAATGATTTAGGTATTTTGAGATGATAATATTTTTACCATAATGTAGACATAAGCTGATTGAATTCTTTTTCCTCTCTAGTGTGTTAACAACTCCTGCGATGCTTAGCTCTTGTGTGTGTTTTATATTCTCCTTAAAAATAATATCATAAAATTCCATGTTTGCATTTCTTATTGAACATAGTTTGAAGATTTTTGTTGACTGACTTGGCATTTTATACACATATTCATACATATGCACACATCTACTTACACATATACATGTATACACGTATACTCACATATTCTTACACATACATATGTACATCTACATATACTCACATATGTATGATTGTACACACGTTTTGTGGCCTTGAGTTGTATTTATCACTGCATCTAACATAAAATATGCTTGTGAACCAAATGTCTTCCATTCCCTTTTCCATTGCCGTGTCACACTTTTCCCCTCCCACTCTTCCAGCCGCCCCTGCAAGTCACAAATTAATGAAACTTACTATGTGAATCAACTAGGGAACAGAAGAGTTGGAATTTGAATTGTTTGTGGATGCTAGAACTATACCAGTGGGTTGAAATTTCAAGAATACAGAGATGGTGAGAATATTGGTTGATATTTTAGGAATGTAGGTTTCATCAACAGGAAAAATTTTTCCATAGTCAGAATTCACCAGCAATGGAAAAAGGCTGGGCCATGGATAACAAACCTTCCACCTCCCCATCATTGGAAGTATTCAAGCAGACTCTGGAAGGCTACTTGTTATAAATGCCATAAAAGGAATTCTTGCAAGGTGGGTAGAGCTTGTCCTCCCTTGATGTCCTGTAAGGAACTTTCCCATGCTTAGATCTGGGAATTTCTCAAAAGCCAGGGTAATCACACCTTTCGAAAAAATGGCAGAGCTCTTGGAAAACTAGCAGAGAGAATAAGTGAGGATGTGTTAAAAACAAAAACAAAAGCAAAAGCACTTGAACTCAGCACCTTCCTCCTTCCCTAAATAATGGTCCCTTGGTTCCAAATGCCTTGGACATTATGGGAAAATGCAGTCTGCATCTCCTCTTTGTTAATATTTGGATTAAGATATCACACTACACTTGTTTCAGATTTGTTTTCAGATAGTTGGCACTTGGCAATGTCCTTTTGTTCATTTCCACCTTTGTTTGGTTATGGTATTCTGAGGACAGTAATGTTCTCTTATGTATATCTTGTTTCTCACATGCTGAGGACATCTAGATAATGTTTTGTGCTGTCGGTAATCCTCTGAATTCCCTAAGACAAAGCCTTTATCAGCTTTACTGGATAGACTCGACTTTCACTCTGCAATAGCATTTGCTCATCTTCTGATGAGACACTTGGCAGACCACTGCTTATTGCAGTAGTGTGCCTTTTAACATTAGGTCCTTAACGATTCCTGATAAATGCTATCATGCTTTCATTATTCATAAGCTCAGAAAACAACTGGAGAGAAATGAATGTCCATAATTAAAGTGTACCTTCCCATAACCATGGAGGAAGGGACTGGAATCTCTAGATGCAATACAAGTATATTTGCATTATGGAATTCTTGCTTTGTAATGGAGAAACCTCCTAATTGTAAAATTGTTTAACACAGTCTTGAATGAATTTGTTTAATGAAAATAGAAGATTTTCAGGCCAGGCGCGGTGGCTCACACCTGTAATCCCAGCACTTTGGGAGGCCCAGATGGGTGGATCACCTGAAGTCAGTAGTTTGAGACCAGCCTGAACAACATGGCAAAACCCTGTCTCTACTAAAAATACAAAAATTAGCTGGGCATGGTGGCACTCGCTTATAGTCCCAACTACTCAGGAGGCTGAGGCAGGAGAATCGCTTGAACCCAGGAGGCGGAGGTTGCAGTGAGCCGAGATCATGCCGCTACACTCCAGCCTGGGTGAGGAATGAGACTCCGTCTCAAAAAAAAAAAAAAAAAAAAAGAAAGAAAAAAGGAAAGAAAAGAAAATAGATTTTTGTCATTATTTTCTTTTGTGATAATTTTTCCTTGACTGAAAACCTAGTTGTTACAGTATTGTAGGAGATAGTACATGTAGCAGTTGCTTTATCTAGGCTAGAAAGTAGAAAGGTATGGTGGTTTAGAAACGTTGAAAAATTATTTTGAAAAATGATATGTGTTCATAAAACATTTTTTCAAAGACAAGAAATATTGACATTTAAATAACATTGAAATTTAATACTTTGGTATGTTGATAATGTTTCTGTAAGGAAAAACTTAAGTTTTCATGATATTTTAGTGAGTAGGATAAAAATTTTCTTTTCCTGAAAATTACATTTTAGCTTTCTGAGTCCATGAGAACTGACTGTCATATGAAAATGTGACGGTACTTGCACAATTGTGGCATACTTCCATATCCCAGTATTGAAGCGTTGCAGTGTGGCATATGTGCCCAAGCACAGCCCTTAAAATATTGTAATAGTTAAAAGTACAACTTCGGATCTAGGCTGCCTGGATTCAGATTCTGGCTTCACCACTTACAAGCTTTATGGTGTTCAGCAAGTCTCTAGGCCTCCATTTTCTCATCTATAAAATAGGGATAATAATCTCACCAACTAAGGGCTAGGTGAAATCATGCATGTAACACTCTTGGCACATGGTAAGTACTTATTAATGTTAGCCATTAATACTTTCATTATTACTGAAAATGTATATAGAATATTACTAAAATTGCATATGTTTTCCTGGTTGTATCAAGGCTCCTTTGGGTATAAGTGTGGGAATAAACTAGTAAACAAACCAAGACATTTCGTTTTCAAAAGTGATAATGTGCTGCTTTTAACCTCAATTCGCTCTCTGAGTTTGGTGAGTTTCCTAGGGTACTGTGGTAGATTGGATTCTTGTTTCCAATTAATTATTCCTTTCCTATAAATAATTTGTACGTGCATATTCTTTGCCATGTGACTTTGCAGTTCTCTCTACTAGAACTGTTGAAGGCTATTTTCTCACCCTACTAATGTTGGTTTTGGCTGTTATTCTGGCTGATGGAATGTTAAAAGGGTGTAATGTAAGCAGAACCTTAGAGGTGTTTGCATGATTTAGCTTGCTCTCTTCTATTTCTGTCACCTGCCATGAGAAGAGCATGCCTGCAGAAAGCCACAGGTTCTGGAATTGTGGAGATTTGTGGAACAGATCTGAATTCAGTCTAATACCTGAAGTTTAGCCTACCACAACCAAACTCTGCAATTAATTGAGAAAAATAAATACTTGCTGTTACAAGATACTGAGATTTTTGCAGTTGTTTGTTGTGTGGTTGTGCAGAAAAGAGTTAACATAGGTGGCCTAAACTGCTATCCTTCAAAAGACCTATTTATTTGCAAGGTTGACCCTTGGCTCATTTCTGGGAACTTAGCTAATTTTGTCTAAACTATTTGTGCAAACAATATGGTTTATGCTGAATACCTACTTTCCTTCTGGGAATCTGGGATTTGGGTAGGTGCTAGGCAGAGGCTGCCTGTGTGACCATGGGTGCTGAGTCTCCAATGGGCTTCCATAGTTGGCAACATTTCACACATGCTGTCACAACTAATTGCAGGCAGAATTAAGCACATCCTCTGCAACTGCCCTGGGAGAAGACACTTGGAAGCTTGCTCATGGTTTCTCTTGGATTTAGCCTGAAGTGCCTTTTCCTTTTGCTGGTTGGGTTTTGCATCCTTGCACTGTAATAAGTCATAGCCATGAGTACAAATATAAGTGTTAAGTCCTGTGAATCCTCCCAGTGACTTGTCGAACCTGGGGGTGATTGTGGGGACCTCTTAAACATAGTTGAATAACTACTGCAATAGTAGACTAATACAGGTACAAATAACTAATTGTGCTAACATTAATCTTGACCTGTTATTTGATCTAATGCTGCTTGCAATGTGAGTTGCTGGCCTGGATTCATAGGCTCCCAT